CCCCTAATATCAGACAACGACATCCAGTTTGATGGCAGAATCTTTAGAGGCTTTTGTGAAGAATACAAAATAGAGTTCTACAATTCTACATCGGCATGTACCCAAGCCAACGGCCAGGCAGGAGCATCAAACAAGGTCATCTTGGATGGACTTAAGAAAAGGTTAGAAAGAGCAAAAGGCAAATGGGCTGACGAGCTTCCTCATGTCTTATGGGCTTACCGCACCACACCTCGACGATCAACAGGAGAAACACTATTCTCCTTAGCCTATGGCATGGAAGCAGTAATCCCGCTGGAAGTTGGCCTCTCCACAATTAGAAGCAAAAATTTTGATCCAGACTTGAATGGAGAAGCCATAGCATTGGAGCTCGACCTTGCAGAGGAAAAAAGAGACAGAACACTGGTTCACATTGCCTCATACCAACAAGAGTTATCCAGGAAATATAACAAAACAGTGCATCCAAGGCAATTCAAGATCGAAGATTGGGTGCTGCGCAAAGTAATGAGAAACACCTTGGTCCCAAGAGATGGCAAATTAGGGCCTAATTGGGAAGGACCCTACAAAGTGGTCGGATTAGCTGGCAAGGGGGCATACCATTTAGAAGATGAGGATGACAAAGCAATTCTCAGGCCATGGAACACTGCCAATCTCAAACTATTTTATTTTTAGCTTTTCTTCAAAATACTTGTAATTTTCTTTTTTCCCAAATAAAACAAGTAGTTTTCTTTTCAGCATAAATGTTTTATTCTGTAAAAAGAGATTGTATTAAGTAAAGTTAGGGACATCAACAGCAAGGTTGGTCGGAATAACCAAACACTTTACTCTAGGTTGGCTGGAAAAACCAATCTAGAGGTTGGCTGGAAAAACTAACACTCCTCCTAAGCCTAGGATAAGGATCCAGGCTGCAGGATGTTTGGTCGGAATAACCAAACATTTTATTCTAAATTGGCAGGAATAACCAATTTAGAGGTTGGCTGGATTAAATCAACTCTTGATACTCTTTAGTCGAAGAAAGGACATCGGCTAAAGAGTAGTTGGCTGGATTAAACCAACTCTTGGTACTCTTTAGCCGAAGAAAGGACATCGGCTAAAGAGTGGTTGACTGGATTAAACCAACTCTTAGTACTCTTCAGCGGAAGTAAAGACATCGGCTAAATAGTGGTTGGCTAGACTAAACCAACTTTGGTACTCTTTAGCCGAAGAAAAGACATCGGCTAAGAGAGTGGTTGATTGGACTAAACCAACTCTTAGTACTCTTTAGCCGAAGTAAAGACATCGGTTAAAGAGTGGCTGGCTAGACTAAACCAACTCTTCGTACTCTTTAACCAAACAAAGGATATCGGCTAAAGAGTGGTTGGTAGGATTAAACCAACTCTTAGTACTCTTTAGCCGAAGTAAGACATCGGCTAAAGAATAATTGGCTGGACTAAACCAACTCTTCGTACTCTTTAGTCGAAGTAAGGACATCGGCTAAAGAGTGGTTGGCTGGATTAAACCAACTTTTAGTATTCTACAGCCGAGGTAGGGATCTCAGCTAAAGAATGATTGGCAGGTATACTCATAGTTGCAATGCTTAAGACCGAGATAAAGTATCTCGGCAAGAGAATGTTGTACCTCATGCAAGACATCAGTCAGAAAGTTAAGGTATAAGCATAAAGATCAACCGAAATAAGAGTTTGAACAAAAAAGAAACATTCATTCAAAATTCAAAAGCAAGTACAAAGGAGAGGCCCCGACCCGGTTACAAACTTTTTTTTCAACAAAAGGAAGAAAAAAGTCAGTCAAACAGGTCATCAAGATCGGCATCAATATCTACACGGAGCCCGGTTTCATTTGGTAGCACGGTCTCAGTTGGATGAACGGTTTTAGTAGGCAGCTCGCTGGTCAGGTCTTCCACCAATGGCTCCAACCGAACTAATTGTTCAACAGGGTCATTGACAACCGAAGTATCCTTTGACACGGCTTCTTCTTCATCATCTGAGTCCTCAAGAAATTGTTGCTGAAGAGCAGCAGCATATTCCGTCATAGAGCCCGGAATGAAGTATGCTGGAGTATTAAAGACCTCGGTCCCTGGATCGTGACCGAGCTGCTCTACAGCTGCCCTCCAACTGCACTTGAAGAAAAAATCCTTGGCAGCTTCACATTATTTAATGTAAGTCGCCTCCCCCTCCTTGAAACCCAAATGATCTCGATTCATAGAAGATCAAGTTTGGTAAAAGTCCAATCTCCTCTTCCTATGCCTCCCATGGAAAATGTCATATAGAAGATCATATTATCATGCATGCTTAGTATCACTTATCAATTATTCAATCATGTATGTCAGGTTATAATTAATTGATGATACTATACATAAATGATAATGTCATATTTGCCGTTACACTCAAGGTTTTTTTTTGTTTTTTTATTGAACGGGTTACACTAAATTTTTACTTGCCTTCCATGTAGCAAAAAAATGTAGCTAATAATATATATATTTTTTGTTTTTAATTTTTAATTTTATTTTTCTGGGCTAAAAGATATATGGGCCAGAGTTGGCATACTGCCCTAGGCAGGCTAATAATGTGTGGCAGGGCGTTTGTGGGCTAATAATGTGTGGCAGGGCGTTTGTGGACTAACAAAGGAGAATTTGGGCGGAGTCATTTTAGTGCAAGTGTGCTTTGCAAATTCTAAGTTCCGTTTGGTAGAGTTTTATAAATATAATTTGAAAGTATGGGTTGTATTTTAAGTTTGTGAGTTGTAGAATTATGATTTGAGTGTAGAAAATTTATTTAGTTATGATTTTTGAATAGAATGTTGAATTGAGTTTTGAATTAAGTTTTGAAAGTTTGATTTGACATGTAAAGTAAAAAAATTTGTTTGGTTGTAAGTTTTAGAAAGAGTTTTCAAAACTTAATTCCAATTGTTATAACTCATAATAAAACACATTACTTTCACACTATTGAAAATTCTGAGTAACACTCATAACCAAACTCTTTTTAAAATTCAATTAAAAAAATTTATTATTAATAGAAAATAACATTAATTAATTTTTTAATTAAAAATATTACAAAGGAAATAATTTTTTTTCAAAATAAATATTCAAAAAATTTGAATTATAAATATTTAAATAATCTAAAAAAAAATTGGGCAAATTACAAACACCTCCCTCGAGCTTTGGTGAAAATACAGATTTCCCACTGAGATTTGAGAAATTACATCCCGCCCCCTGAGATTTATATTTCTATAACAAATTGTTCTCTGAGATTTTTATTTTCATACAGATTCTCCCCTAATTTTTCCTAATTTATTATGAAAATTTGACTCTCAGGAGGCAATTTGTAATTTCTCAAACCTTAGGGGAGAATTTGTATTTTTACCAAAGCTTGAGGGGGTGTTTGCAATTTGCCCTAAAAAATTTAATAAGTAAAAAATTAAAATAAATATTCAAAAAATTTAAATCGTAAAAATTTAATAATTTAAATATTCAAAAAATTTAAATAATTTAAAATTTTAATATTTTAAATTTAAAAACAACTCTACACTCAAATTATAACCAAACACATAAAACAAAACTTAATTAATAAATTATTTTTAAAACTCATAAATTAAAATATTGGTTTGAATTGAGTTTTGAAAAGAGTTTTAAATTATGTGTTTGGTTATGAGTTTTGAAAAGTAATGATTATGTTTTGAAAAATAGATGTACAATTATGATTTGAAAACTCAAAATAAATAGCACATTTAAATTAATGGGTGAAACTATGATTCGAAACTCTTATCAAACATAGCCCTAATTTTTGACATGTCAAATCTAATAATATTTTTTGCTGGCAGAAACATTGAACCCTGTTTGGTTTTGGATGAAATAGGCACTTCTTCTCCAGCTATTTCACGCCCCTTTTTTTTTTTTTTTTTTTTTTTTTTTTTTGGGGGGGGTTTTTTTTTTTTTTTTTTTTTTCTTTTTCACACTCAACTTTTCACTTTAAAAAAAAAAATGTTTTAACATTTGGCAAATGCATCAGTTTTTATTTTTTTATTACTTTTTCCTAAAAAAGAAGTAAAATACCTACTGAAAAAAACATTTGTCAAATAAGTATGGCCTCATGAAGGATGTGTGCGGTACAATTCGATCAGTTTAAGAACAAAATTATAAATCTAATGGCGGATTAGTGCGGTACAATTCGATCAGTTTAAGAACAAAATTATAAATCTAATGGCGGATTAATGAATTAAAAAATTATAATTTGAATAATTTTGGATGGATTGACAGATTGAAAAATATTCTAACTAATTATCAAACATGAGTATAATATATAATACTAATTTACATAATATTTTTTTATATATATAACTAATTTGTAACAAATTTCACATTTTAAATCTCTTTCACACTAATTTTTACTTCGATATTTCATTAGACATTAAAAAATATATATATATTGATTATAGTGGAGCGAAGCGATTTTAAAAACGGATTATAAAATTTAAAATTTAATCCTCAGTTAGCAGATTAAACGGTGTAAATTGATACAAATCAATACAATTTTAGTAGATTAGGCAGTATTTCCACAATCCTAGGCCTCAGATCTTGGAATTCTTCCTATGTTTGTTTGGATCTTAAATAGGTGTTTATTATTTCTAATGGGTAATTAATTAAACAATAATATTGTTTTTTAATAAAATTTATTATTTTTATTTTCCCAACTCAACCCAAAAAAAAAAAAAAGTAAAAAATAATCTTCCTGCACGAGCTCCATCACTACAAGATTTAGAGAGAGCTAAATCCGTACACACCCTTTCGTGTGCGCGACGAGACTATTTTGTGTTTTGAACCTGTGACATCTTGATCACAACGGAGCAAACCATAATCTAGGACATTACTCCTGTTAAAATCAATACTGGATGGTATTCTCAAAATTGGATACAATATGAAAAGAATCACATTTGGTGTTTGGCAACAATCCTGAATATATTTATCAAAAAATATACATTTCTAAAAAATTGGCAACAAAATAAAATGGACGATTTAAACTTCTATGTACCAAACTTTTAATTGCACATAATTAACATCAAAATGTTCTATACAACACAAACCACAACCTTTGTTGTTTCAAAGCAATTCTGGCCCTAGAGATGGTCAAGGCCACGATCAAATATGCAAAGTGGCAAAACAATTAATCAACCAAGGATAATTGAATTTACAACCATTGTCCCACGTGATGATTTCTGTGGTTCTTGAGCCAGTTTCTCATTTTCTTCTCTTTGCAAAGCACAATATAGCCTAGCCTCCCCATTATCATATTCTTGGATGGTACATTGAAACAACGCTACCAAACACCAATTAAGCAAGTATAGAGAGAAATTCAAGCCTCCCATCGACACTCAATAACACAAAACTTCAAAAGGTTCATTACTGATAACATAGGGGCAGTCAAGAATGCTGCTGGGCCATTCCTATCCGTCTGTCAAGTATCATGATATGTATTAGCACTTTGAACGAACCATCTACTAGAGAAAATAGAGATATATAGAAATGACTTTGTCAACGGATACCTTGAATTTCATTTGGTTTACGCCTAGTGCACAACCACGTGTATGTACAAAATTATACTCATCTCTAGTTGCATAAGGTATGCAATACAAAACACACAGACAAGTTTGTTTCCAATTATATTGAAGCAATTCTATATCAATCCAATTTCTAGATCACAGATTTTGCCTCTGAAGATATTTTCCTTGCTATGTTTACTTTATTTTATCCATGTTATTTGATCTTGTTGTCCTCATTTTGCAGTTGATGAATCCTTCTCAAGCATGACATGACCATCTAGATAAACTTATTTTTTGACATTTTAGCTACACATTTTTCGATGGTCATCTATCAAAGCCCCAACATTGTTTGAATACATTAACATAATCAATGCAGCCCTGGTAGCATTTCATGTGCTATGAAGACACTAATCGAACGTTTACAGCATAATACTCATCACTCAACAAGGCATTTAATGGATCCCCTAAAGATTACTTTTGCAAGTTCACTTTGATACCAGTAGCACATATCAAAACTTGACAAACTGAAAATTGTTGCTTGAATGATCATTTACATCAATGTTAAGCTTCAAACTGGGGGTGCAGTGAATCTCATCTCAACTTCATTTCATACCTATTCATTGTAGAACCAAAACAACAAATTTCACAACTTCCTAAATACAAAATCAAACAACTCACATTGAGGACCTTGAGGTCAGTTTGCTTCAAGTCAAATTTCGATTAATAAACTGTGTTTCCTTTGCCTACAAAAGATTAGATGCATGGTTTCGTAATCTTATGAAGCTCGGTGTCTACAGAACATGAATGAGCTTAACAGATTCCAACCGAGCACCCCCACTAGAACCTTCATCCATGAATCTATATGTAACTTGCCATGATCTCAAGCAAATACAATTTCACATAGTTTTTTTTTGTGTATGTGTGCGCGCGCGCGTGCATGTAATACATAGTTTAGGTATGTATGATTAAAATTATCCACTATGAACATTACGAAATCGTTAAGATATCCAAAACTATTAAGCACATTGACCCTTAAATTTAATTTTGTCAGACAAGGACCTGTCCGTTGCACAACAAATTTATACACCAACATGAGTATTCAAATGAAAATTACATCAAACATCTTATGCTTACAATGTGACCCTCCAATTCACTACTCTTCAACAAGATATTTTTATTTTTGGACACACAAATAGGTCTAATGTGGTTGAGCATTCCTCTTATATTTGATGGCTACACAAATTGGCAATAATTTCACAATTTAGCTACATGTAATCATCGAAGAGAATCTACAGTAATGATGGATTCAAAATTTGTACAACTTCACATACAATTGTAATAAACAGATACCACGATCGAATTCATATAGAAAACAACTCTGCTAAAACAAATAAAACAGAAACAATTGTAAATCTAATCCTTCACCTCTTAATTGTAGTAATAACCTTTTCCCAAACAGTTGAGACAGCGTTGTACCCTATAATTAAGATCACAAATTTCAATCCATATAATTCTAGTCAGCATGAACAATTTGGTTTCAAGAAATTGTGCAAAGTTTAAAAGAACCATTGGAGAAGAAAGGGGAAAAAAAAAAAGAGAGTTATTTTTATTTTTATCTTCTAAACTATAAAAAAAAGAAGAGGCAAAAAAAAAAGAGTTAATTTTATTTTTATCTTCTAAACTATTGTCATTTTTTCCATTTCATCCTAAGAGTATTAATTTTTATTTATTTAGCCCCTAAGTTTCTAATTTCAACTAATGTGGCCCAATTGAAAATAGTTGTCCAAATCAGTAACCGTTAAAACCCTTATTTAATGAGCGAAAAGATCACTTCAAAATTTGAACAACTTAAACTGTACAATCAAACAATCATTTCTGTATTCATCATTTTGAAATGAGGGGTGGAGAAGAATATGGGTGTTTGATTGTAAGGTATAAAATTGTCTAATATAGTGTAAGTAAAAAAGGTGGGTGTAAAAAAGGTGGCTGTTTAGTTCTATGATTTAGATGTCTAAATTATAAAATTATCTTTTTGCCCATTAGATTAGGTTTCCATCATTACTATTTTGGACACACAATCTCCAATCGAATCATATGAACTGAAATGATAAACTTTACGATAGAATTGATAGTTTATGAATGAAATTAAAAAAAAATCGCAATGTTTTAGAGGATAAAAATGAAATCAACCAAATTTTTTTTTTTATTTTTTTTTTTAAAGTACAGAAAAGAAGAAATGAGTAAAGTGAGTGACCTGTTTCCATCACAAGTAGGGCAAAGACAAGGGTTTATAACCAGAGGATCATACAGAGGTGACCAATGTATTGTTGATTTCCCTTTGCACAATTTGCAAATGTAAAACCCTTTTTCCTTGCACACTCCACATGCCAATGCAAATTTCTTCTGCACAAACCAAAACCCCAAAACTCAAAATTCAACAAATTTACTGTTCCATTACAATTCTTACATACTATAAACACTTATATATATATAGAGAGAGAGAGAGAGAGAAGAGTATAGTTACCTGTTTGGCATCGACGATTGCTTGTAGGGTTCGAATGGTGGCAGAGGTAGCTAGAGAGAGCACTTATATATATATATATATAGAGGGGAGAGAGAGAGAGAGGAGTATAGTTACCTGTTTGGCATCAACGATTGCTTGTAGGGTTCGAATGGTGGCAGAGGTAGCTAGAGAGAGAGTGAGAGCTCCGCCGACGAGCATAGCGGCGGCTGATGCTAACTTGCGCAGTGGGTGTGGAACACCCCCACCGCCACCGCTCGCCATTGTCAGGGTAGTCTTCTACTGTCAGTACAACAATGGATTGGAAATACCTGTGGTGTGATTTTGGGGGTTTGGCTGTGAAACGAAATCTCAACCGTTAGATTGTCTGATCAATCCTGTCCGTTCATCACATAAGACGTACTGTAACCAGATAAAAATAAAAAAAACCTGACTCCATTGTTTGGCAAAAATTACACTTTTAACTTACAACAATGATTCATCCCATTAAAAATATCACTATTAATAGAACTAATGCATTAAAAAAGTAAAAAAAAAAAAAATATAACTCCAAGATCAAAACATCACATCATTAATGACGGGATCCACTGCCACCTAATTAGTAGGAGCACTAATTAGTGCTCCCAAACATTTTACGTTAACTTATAACATTTTTCCTACGGTACTCTGCCTTTATTTCTTTTCAATCGAAAAGAAAAAGAAATGAAATGAAAATAGTCCGAGGGTGAGCATGTAATAAAATATTATGGGTGTTTGGGAAGTGGATTTTTATGTAAATTTTTTTAGTTATAGGATATTATTAGTGTTGGCTTTTTGGCTTTTCGAAGGGTATTTTTGTGAATGTGAGCGTGCCAGCAAGGATCAATCAGTCCTTACAGAAGTTGTGATTGCCAACCAATTATCAGACGATTGTGTTTTAGTTCTTTTCAGCCTCAATGAAGAGGACTTTTACTGGTGGCTTGATTTAGGAGAAGTTAATAGAAAATAACAGTAATATGAAGAACAATTGAAGTATTTCATAAAAATGAACACTTACAATGGTCCGAACTCAGCCTCAGAGAGGTTTACAACAGCAATCTACTTGAATCTACTTGAAGCTACTCCTATGAATCGAAGTGCAGTGCGGGTATTTAAAGTGCAGGTATTTAAAGAACATGTATTTAAAGACTGGAAATGTAAAAGACTGGAAAAGAAAATATATGAAATAAATGACTGATTTGTATGATCTGAGTTCCGTCCCCTTTTTCTGGGGGCTGCCCTGCTATTTATACTCGTCAGTGATGACCTTCGAACTGCACTTCGAACCGTCGAACTGCTCCTCCATGATCACTGATCATGCTTCCTTACAAGTAGCTCCATTACGCCATTACTGGCAGTTGAGCTTCCCTCTTGTACAGTTGGAAACATCATTTGGTTACATTGAGAATTTATGCTTTTAATTCAATTTACTCAATACGATCTGTTATTAAATTATTTATTTATTTATTTATAAATATTAATATATATTATTATAAACTCACCATCATATATTATAAATTCACCATCACAATCATAATTACAACCACAACCACAACCACAACCACAATGCTACCACCACTATCTCTATTGCTACTATTACCACCACTATGCCACCGCTACCACTACTACCACTATTATTATCACCTTCATCATCATTAACATTATTTTCATAAGAACTACTATCATTTTATTTTCACTATCATCGCTACAGCTATCCTCACCACTAGCAATGCTACCATCACCACTACTACCATCACTACCATCACCACCATCATACTATCACCACTACTACCACCACCATCATACTATCACCAC